TCAACTACATATAGAACACAGAGCCAGAGCTTGTACACTGTTTAATGTTACATATCATAGCTTTAAGGGCCTAAAGAGGGCCTTCGAGGACGACCCCTAAAAGCTGTTTTAAAATAGTCTTTCATTCCATTCAGTGTTTGCAGTTTGGGGGATTTTTATGTTCACGATACTCAGATCAAACCCGAAGCCTGTCTGAGATAGAAATATCATCAGTTCAGAGTTCAGTTGAACGAGTGGATGGACCAGACTCTCCTGCAGCTCTGATTGGCTGAGCCTCTGTGAACTACCTGAGAATCACACACCTGTGAGCAGTAAGGTGGCTGATGATGACCAGAGGACCCTTTTTGGTCTCCACCCACTAACACTGAGTGTGTGTGTCCCTAGGGGTACTTTGGAGCACTGCAGGGGGAAGTTAAGGTTGTTAGTGTTACTGCATGATGACCAAACATTAGTTTTCCATGAATTTAGTGATGAATCCCAAACATCTGAAATGTTTTGAGTGTTTTTCTGAATAAATCAGACACTGAAGGCGCAGTGCTGTATTCTCTATATAATGAATGAATGAAAGAAGAACCACCTAGAATTTGTGTCTGTTTAGCTGCTTAATGCTCCACTTTCTCCAGCAGCTGGTCTCCAACTGCGTCTGTCTGCAGCAGCTTAAAGGACCACAGTGCTCATTATGCAGAATAATGTGGGCTGGTTGGTGAAAGTGGTTGATTTTACTATATGAACAACTGGTGAAATCTTAACTTATCATTAACTACATTGTACATGATTTATTTGTTCACTGTTATTTATCTGAATCTGCAAAGTAACTAATAACTAAAGCTATTAAATAGTTGGAGTGACTCATTACTGCACATTGTTGGGTTGAACATCATTTGATCGACAGTAACGGATCCATTTAGTTCAACTCAAACTGTTTAAGTTTATTAACTCAAACAATTTAAGCATGAAAAAACATATTTGTGTGTAGCTGTATTTACTCCTTTTTTTAGTCCACTAAAGCAAATTATTACATTACCTGTCAAAACAATTCAAAATAGTCAATTATCAAAGTTGTCAAATCACTAAAATGTAAATATTCTAAAGGAAGACTTAAAGAAAAAGAGTCAGTGGAACTACATACTTCAAATACTACACACATTTAAGTTAGAGTTATTTAACAATTACTTTCTGAGTTTAATTAAAAAATAAAGTTATGTTAACTTTTATAAAGATAATGCTGTTAGTTAAAGTATCTGTGCCAGTCTGAGCCGCTGTGGGCCGTCTGTGGATACTCTGACTGGCACTGGTTAGGGTTGGTTTAATTGGTGGCAGACCGCAGGACAGTGGGAGCGGGTTATCAACACACACACAGCGATAACACCAGTGTGTGTGTGTGTGTGTGTGTGTGTGTTTGTGTCTGCTGGCTGCACACACACACACACACTCACACACTCACTCAGCCAGGGGAACAAAAACAGGCCAAACTGGGGTGTTGATGGTGCTGATGGTGATGTTTCTGCTAAAGGGTGGAGGGGGTGAGGAGGGGGGGAGACAGCTCGTGGTGGGGGCCTGTGAAACGTCAGACACAACATAAAGGCATTGCCACGTAATTAGAGAGAGAGAGAGAGGGAGAGAGAGAGAGACTACAGGCTCTGTAGCCTGGAGGTGCGGCGGTAACGTCCTGCCTCCCGCTCTCTAGCTGCCGCTCAGCGAGCTTTGCGCACACACGGGGCTTTGCGCATCTGGTCGTCATCAGCAGCAGCAGCAGCTCTTCCTGCTCAGATGTGACTCAACCAGAGTGGGAAGAGAAGCTTCTTCTCACAGGACCTCTTGTGTAAAACCCTCCTCGGACGTCGGTTCTCGGGCAGCAGGACGCCGCCGCCGCCGCCGCGCACCGCTGGATGGATTGGCTGTTTAACTTCTTTTAACTGGAAAAAACGAGGCGAGGAGAAAAGTTTGCTCAAGTTTGTTTGCGCCCTCCGCGCTGATCTGGATGCGAACAGATCCGCGTTGTAGCTCGGAAGAACCCGGGTCTGTCTCTGGCCGCTTTCTGGAGGCTTTCCGTGCAGAGGATCTTGGTTGTTCCGCGGTTCTTCCTCTCAGATCGCCGCTCCGCTCTTTTCCCGCAGTTCCCCACTTGCGTCATGACTTCTAGCTATGCACATGTAATGGACAGGCAAGCCTCGATATCAAACCGCCTGGAGAGTCCGATCACGTCGAACCTGGACAACCTGCAAGCCAAGAAGAACTTCTCGGTCAGCCACCTGTTGGATCTGGAAGAGGCCGGGGAAATGGTGGGCTCCCAGGCGGACGAGAGCGTCGGGGAGGCGGGGAGGAGTATGCTGGAGTCCCCGGGGCTGACCAGCGGGAGCGACACGACCCAGCAGGAGAGTAAGTGAAACGCAGACCGGCAGGAACCCGAACCGAACCGAACCGAACCGGGCCGGGACACAGTTCACACTCACGTATAACGACAAGATGTCAGTCATTTGTTTTCATTATGTTCTGGCGGGTGTCCGCGTGCAGGAGCGCATGAATGGAGCTCTGCGGAGAGCCGCGCGCACGGAAGGAATCCTTTAGTGAGTTTTGGCAATGCATCATCCCTGACGCCCCCCCCGCCCCCCCCCCCCCCCCCCCCCCCCCCCCC